TAGTTTTGCTTTTGTGTATTACAGTACACAAAAAATATTCACATATACCATTGTTGATGGAAATATAATTTCACAAGTACTACCTTTAGCACAGTTTAATGTTTAAATCTGAACTAACCCCATAATAGAAAGGCGGCAGATCATCCCATGAAGTTGCATAACTCGGGTAAGCAACGATCTAGAAAAGTAAATATATTTAATGGGCATTATTTCTACTTCAGAACATATTCACTTTATTTCATTAAAGTTGACAGTAGATAATGTTTTCATGCTGTAAATAATTTATTTTTCCACCAGGATGATAAATAACTGAGTTCCACGATTCTGCACAATACTATAAGGTACCCTGCACATCCACTGTACCAACAGATGAAACCAAATATTTTTGATGATTGAACTGAAGATATTAATATTAATTTATTTGTCTGTTTGCTTAACTTCAGAATAATGACTTTTTTTTTTTTTACTTTCTTTAAAGTGTTTTAAACTGTATGACGTAAATCGAATGTATAGCTGGGGTTCTGATTCCAGAACTCCAGCTGTCAGTTCATGACAGTTCTGTCATGAACTGGTAGAACTGACTCGGGTTTGGCCTACATCCAGTGGCGCAAAAAGGGGATATGCAGCGCATGCAACGCATAGGGGCGCAGCACAGGGGCGTCAAAACCCCGTCTGGAGGGGGCGGCGCGCCGATTATGTTTTCCCATATACTTCAGCGCGCCTTACGCTCCTTCACCTCGCGCACGTGACGTGGTAAATGTAACGAGTTTTACCCTTCACGTAACTTCGTGTCGGGGGCGGGGGTAGAGCGAGGGTATGTTTCCACGCTCCTTCAACCTTCCTTCGGGGGAAAGGGGGATGGGAGGGAGCGCCGATTTATGTTTTCGCATCCACCAGAATAATGTGTAGTTGCGCCACTGCCTACATCTTGGTACTAAAGTCTGAATTTAAAGAAAGTGGTAAAAAAAAAAAACTTTCTAGAAAGTATATTTGCATCATTGTGACATTTAACAATTAGAAATAATTCTGATAATCCCAACCCAAAACAGGAGATTCTCAGTCAGTCAGAGGGGGGAAAACGCCGGAAATGAGTCTTTTTATGCAGTCAGTATATTTGCTTGTGGTTTTATTTGAGTAACTATTGGAAAAGTGGAAATGCAATTAATAACGCACCAAAAATGAGTCACTTACGTCACAGGTTACCGACTTTTCTTCTTGTATGATGTAGCCCAAGCAAAACTGCTGTATCACCTTTTGTCAGCAATATTACACTTCACTCTACTTTTGTTAGTGTAAAGACTCGATTGGTTGTTCTGTTTTACGTTGACCCATCGCCATTGGCTAGTGGAACATCTATGTGAGGTGCTGCATTCGAAAGAGACTGTAATTTTGGCTTATTATTTTTAACGAAACATTGAAACATTCTTTATTGCCTCAACGTGACATTAGCGTAAGGATATGTGTAGCACCTTTCAACTACTCTGTGGTCACATATTTTTCCCTGACCTTTGGTTGCTTATAGTAAATGAATTGTCCGAAAATACCAAGCGAGAAAATCCAAACTACTTCAGTTTGTATTATAAATTCCGAGGTACTTTAAATGCACCGCTGAGCTTCGCCCGTGAATCAGAGGAACTCTATAGTTTGTTCAGTTATTTCAAAGGGGCTATATGTATCGAAACTACGGGCTGAACTAAGTAAGCACTTTGTTTGGCTTTTACACAGAAATTAAGATGTTTTAGGGCGCCTGAAAGGTCACGTGTTCTGCTTCAATATTACAAACGCTGACCTGTTTTCTACAGTAGCACATTCAGAACGTCATTAGGAGACAGACGCAGCGCATATTTCAAATACGTCGTTTTTATGCCGGATTTAAAAGACTGTAAGAGGTATATCAGTATCCATATACTGTTGAATATTCCTGTGAATATTTCGAGCCGAACACATCGATGCTCTAGCTGTAGCTACCTAAGGTAGGAAGCTAACAAGCTAGAATCACCTGCCAGTGGCTTCTTCCTAGAGTTCGCTAACAACTTAAGAGAACATGTAAATGTGCTATGTGTTATGTAGATTTTTCTGTTATTTGTAACTTAGTTGTCTTTTAATTTTATTTTAAACCTCAGCAACGCCGTTAGTAGTAAAGCGTTGGTCGTTTTGTTATTCCAAGTTCTTGGTTTTTAATGTGTAATTTGGTAATATTTTGGAATATTGCCAATTCTACTATTATGTCGAACAGTTGGATACTCGCTGTAAATATTTATTATTAATTTCTTAACTGGAAAAATGTGATGTATGCTCTGTTATGTCAGAAGATTGTTAAAGCTTGTGAACAAAAGGAAAACTTAAGGATGAGTTACCCTAACCCTAACGCCGCATTCCAGGTTGAACATTTCTCTGAGTAGGTACCATGTGGACATTTTCCTCAGCTCCCTCATCTTGCTTACTTCCCTCTGCAACCTGTCCTTCATCATCCTGGCCCTCATCATCTTGACTTTCAGCATCCTGACTGTCTGCATCTCCTTCATCATCCGTATCTCCTATATTTCTAGTGTTCTCTGGTAGCCACTCCTCATCACTGCTGTCACTATACTTATCATCAGAGGAGTTGGAGGGAATTTCCTTGACTATTCCATAGTGTTCCTTATTCTTTGCTGCACTTGTGGTCTAAAAGTATGAGAAATTATAATTTCACTAAATTTCACTAACACAAACTACAACTGATCTGCATAAAAAATTTATTTTTAAAACTAACTTAGATATACTCAAAATGAATTAAATTACAAGCAAAACAGTTATAATGGAAGATAAATCAACTACATGACTTGTGTTAAAAATATAGTCAGCGATGCATGATGTCCACTGTGTTGGACACATGGTTGATCACAATTTTCTACTTATGTGAAATAAAAAATGTCTAAACTAAGTTAATAATATTGTTACTTAGATGCTCCTGCATGTCAGCATATATATTTTTTACCTCTACTATTCTCCTAGAAGGATTGAGAGGGTATTCCAGGAGTGGTCATCGAGTGTGTCTGTCTGTCAGCCATCTTGGACTCCGATGACATTAACTTGTAGTTACAACAACTTGCCACTGAATTAATTCAATGGAGGGGAGCAGTAGAGAGCATTTTAAGGACTGATATGCAATTCCACCATAGAAACCACTGCATTTAGGAAACAATGACTTTTAAACAGCTGTCCACTGTAGTAGCATCTGCAATTACATTATTGATTATTATATGTGAGGACTCAGTTGGTTTGTTATCAACAAAACCTGATTTTTCTTGTCAGTTAAGTTATTATGATACATTTTTTCCTGGATTAGCAATAGAAACACCTAACAAATGTAATAAAACTTTCATCTGTTTTATTTTTGAATCTAGTATTTTTCCTAGAATGGCCTCGAGGATCCTGGATGAGGTGATGATGGACGCTGCACTGATAAAAGAATTAGCCGGAGTTGCAAAGGACACAGCACTTCTTCAGGGAGTGTTGATGAGGACCAAGGAGAGCCCAAACTCATCTGAGGTGCTTTTTTAAGAATGTCACTTTTAGTTGTCCTTTAGACTGTTATTATCAACACAGCTTGTTGTGGTCAAATCAGTAGATGCATTAAAGCACTGTCAGAATGTCTAGCC